TCTTCAGATCACAGCTTGAAAACCCCTGCACTAGCTTATTGTTATAATACTTGCAATTAATTTGCACAGTGCTAGGTGAGGTTTTCCTGCCCCAACCCATATGCTGTGCACCATCTTCCTCTTCTTCTGTTGTTTCCTTCCTTTCTTTGTCATTATTTGGGTCCAATGTCTCTTTTGCTTAGAAATCTCGCTGTTGAAGGTCCCCGGGCTAATAGGCACTCAACGGAACAAGAAAGCGATATCTAAAATGAACTGGGTGCTGAAAGGATGGCAGTGTAGTACCGGATAACAATGGCTCTTTTTCCCCCAACGTGGACCTTTATTTTGAAATAAAATTAAAAAGCGTAGGCAATGAAAGGGGGAAGAATACAGGCAACACTGCCACAAGATTACTCAATAGCAGGGGGAAAGGAGACGTGCTGTCTATAATCCTCATCTCCAGTCCCTGGCGTATCATTCCTAGCTCAGTGGTTTAGAGCATTTTCTTTCCATGGGACAAATCCCAGGTTCAGTCCCCAATGGTAGGGCTGGGGATGTCACTTGTCTGAAAGCCTGGATAGCCACTGCCGGTCAGAGTAGACAGTAGTGAGTCAGATGGACCAATTGGTCTGACTCTGTAGAAGACAGCGTATGTTTTCCTTTGTTCCATTTTTTCCCTTTTAAATTAGAATCCACATCTTGAACTGATACATAATCTGAAACAGGGGTTATCCTTCACAATTTGCACTTCTCCAAATTTTGTTAGCTGCCTCAAGACGTGTACAAAATAGCATATTAGGGGAAATTGGACATAAAATACATACTGTACATAAGTGGGGGGGAAAGCATTACAATGTATTGTAACAGGAATATTTGCTTGCAGAATTGTGGATATTAGTCAAAACTGCATACAAATATCTGTATTATTCCAAGAAATTTGCACAAAAATGCTACCACATGTTCATTGAGTCCCCCACCCCACCACCCCAAATGCAAATTACTTAAGAAATATGAATAACTGAATTCAAGAGTGGAAAAGTGAGAGGCTGAAATGGACAGATTAGTCTATCTCTTGGTAAGTTTGTGGAACAATTACCGGTACTCCATGACCCTGTGCATGAAACTCTTAATCTCAAGGTTGTGGGTTCGAGCCCCATGTTGGGCAAAAGATTCCTGCATTGTGGGGGTTGAATTAGATGCCCCTTGTGGTTGTCATCCCCAAACTCTACAATTATATCAATTATATAATTATATCATTCTCTGTCTGTTAAGAAGTAAATCCTTCTTTGGTCAGTGAGACATAAAAGGTAAAGGGACCCCTGACCATTAGGTCCAGTTGTGTCCGACTCTGGAGTTGCAGCACTCATCTCGCTTTATTGACCGAGGGAACCGGCATACAGCTCCAGGTCATGTGGCCAGCATGACTAAGCCGCTTCTGGCGAACCAGAGCAGCGCACGGAAACGCTGTTTACCTTCCCGCCGGAGTGGTACCTATTTATCTACTTGCACTTTTGACATGCTTTCGAACTGCTAGGTTGAGCTCACCCCGTCGCGGGGATTCGAACCGCCGACCTTCTGATTAGCAAGCCCTAGGCTCTGTGGTTTAACCCACAGCGCCCCCCATGTCCCATCAGTGAGACATGCTCCCATATAAATTTGTAGAGGATTGCAGCCTTAAAGGAGAACATATTGGAGAGATACACACACATTTTTTTGAGAGAGTTTGGATGTGTATGTTACCCTATGTAATCAGAAAGAAGGAAGGAAGGAAGGAACCAAATTCCTATCTGTATTTGACTGGCATTTCATCAGCCATGATTCTGGTATCTTAAGCTGCTATCCTAAGCCTGGGGCGGGATAATCAAATACAGTTGAATCACCCACAAAGTTCCCTGCTGGGCTTTCATCAGCAGGGTAGATAAGTATATTTTGCCCTTTACTCCTTTTCAATACCTCTATGGCAGTGAAATAAATGGGATTAAACTATACCAGCTCCCTGGCTGATATGGCTTAATAAGTGGTCTGGGGGCTTGTTTCAAGGTCTGTAGAAGCTTTGTATCCTTCTGAGCCAAGCCTTCTCCTGGCCCTCCTTTGGTCTACATGCACACATACACACCCTTTTCAGCCATACTGATCCTGGAGCTCCAACATAGGTAGGACAAGACATCTGAAAGTCTCCCTTTCCAAGAGCACTCTATCTCTTTGCACTCTCAGAGATGGTAATCCAATATTTTTACATGGTCCCTAAAATGCCCTCCTGGGGACCATACGGTTGCAGGGTCAGGCTGTTTGTGCTTTTAAAACTGCAACAAGAATGGTAAAATGCAAATATAAGGCAAAGGTTGGATGGATGGTTGATCTCTAGGGTGACACAGGCTAGATAAGTGAAGACCCAGGATGCAGGGAGTCTGGAAAAATCAGAAAAGGGTTTTTTTTCTTTTCTTTTACCAATTACTTGTTTTCAACTTTTGAAACAGAAACTGGATATTTTGTAGAACACAGAGGGAAAGAAACTGATATGAACTATTTTCCCTTTTGGAATGACTGTAGTGTTTTGTAATATAAGGATTAGGTTGCTTCAGTCAGGAAGTATGATCTCTACACAAGACAATCTAACAGCATTATAGAACTGCTCTTGGGTTTCCAGTAGGCATGGATGCAACACTCACATCCAAGCTATGTTTATGCACTTAGAGGGTCCTGCTGCCTTCGTGAGAAGAGCATATTTGACCCTCCTTTTCTTGTGAGCTGCTGTTTCGCTACTTCTGCTAAAGTGGCCAAAGGTCCTTGCTAAAGGTCAATCTTCTCCTCTGTTGGAGAGGTCAAATAACAACAGAAGGCTGTGAACATAAGGAGACATTGATTTAAAATATACTATCAGCCCTGTGGCTTTCTTTCTTTCTTTCTTTTTTAAAAAGAAGTTGATCTAACTCAGTTGCTGTATTCCCCTGGGGTGGGAGGGAACTCCAGAAGGATGGATTCTAGAGGCAAAAGTAGGTGAAGCAATGTATGGAACAGTTATTTACTGTAGGCTACCATGCAGGTTGGGACGCGGGTGGCGCTGTGGGTTAAACCACAGAGCCTAGGGCTTGCCAATCAGAAGGTCGGCGGTTCGAATCCCTGCGACGGGGTGAGCTCCCGTTGCTTGGTCCCTGCTCCTGCCAACCTAGCAATTTGAAAGCACGAAGTGCAAATAGATAAATAGGTACCACTCCAGCGGGAAAGTGAATGGTGTTTCCGTGCGCTGCTCTGGTTCGCCAGAAGCGTCTTAGTCATGCTGGCTACATGTACGCCAGCTCCCTCGGCCAATAAAGTGAGATGAGTGCTGCAACCCTAGAGTCATCTGCGACTGGACCTAATAGTCAGGGGTCCCTTTACCTTTACCATGCAGGTCAGAAGTTTCCATCCTCCATCCACTCAGGAAAGCCAGAGACATTATCACAGTTCAATGATGCATTTCCAGCAAGGCAATAGCACTCAAGGAGGATATGGAGCATAGTGTGGCCTTGGTGTGGCCTGGGGGTGAGTCCATGGCCTGCAGAGAGCCTGGAGGACCAAATAAAAGAGGCTGCTGGCCTGCAGACCTAAGGTTCCTGGATGCAGTACATCTCCTGGCTTCCCCAGCTCTGACTTCAGCACTGGCCCCATTGTGGTGGCAGCTTCTTTGGCCATATCAGTCCTTGTCTTCCTAGCAACGTAGCTTGAAATCTTTGAGTAAATTCCTGTTCAGAGTCCAGCTCCCTGACAGCACGAACACAACCTCGGAAGCACAGTGCGCCGTACAATTTGGGGAAGTCATAATCACAGTGTGAATTTAATGTAATAATTTAAATGTCGTAATTATGAGGGGGAAATATGTGCTCGTTTATTCTTCTGCAACTCAAGGGGGGGACGCATTATTAGTATATCTTAGGGTGGAATTTATCTTCTTAGAGTTCTAATTATGGAACTTCTTAGTTTAGTAAATGCCGTTTGGACGACCAACTGCTTGGCAGAATGTTAATTTGGTCCCCATGATGCATAATAAAAAAATGTAAGGGTTGCCAAAGAAGGAGATGCCATTTTCAAACAATGTATTTTGGAATAATTTGCTTGGTGATAGGGGGCACAGTTGCCATTTCACCTCTTGGATGCAGCCCTAAAATGTAGTTCTGTTGCAATTCAGTATTGGGAAGACTACTTTGTAAATCAGGGGTTGGGAACCTCAAACCCAGGGGCCCAATCTGGTCCTCAGGGCTGTCTTCAGGCCATTCCCCCTCCCACAGACCCCACTTTCCCTGAGTGCTTCTGCCCACCCAGAATGAATGAGGAGACTGAGAGGAGCCATGATAGACATCCTCAAATATCTCAAGGGCTGTCATGTGGACAAGGGAACAAGCTTCTTTTCTCCTATTCTGGAGGGTAGGCCTCAAACCAATGGCTTGAAGTGACAAGAAAGGAGATTCTGACTCAACATCGGGGAAAACTTTCTGACAGTAAGAGCAGTTCAACAATGGAACAGATTCCCTTGGGAGGTTTTAGGCCCTTCTTCCTCAGAGGTTTTTGAGCAGAGGTTGGATGTCCATCTGTCATGGATGCTTTAATTCCTGCATTGCAGGGGCTTGGCCACTGTGAGAACATGATGCTGGACTTGATGGGCCATTGGCCTGATCCAGCAGGGATCTTATTTTCTTGTCAATAGACCTCTCCCGTATTCAATTGTGCCATTGGGGCCAGACTGACTACTGGGCAGAAGTCTATGGCTTCATTGAGCAAAATGAGCAGGTGAGCTCCAAACACTGCAGAGCTAGCTTACCGCACACATTGTGACATTAGCAAAGTAATGCACTAAGTGTAACCAACATGGTGACCTCCAGAAATATCTGGTCTACAATATCCATCATCCCTGCCTGTTGACCTTGCTGCCTGGGGCCGATGGGAGCTGGAGTCCCACAACATCTGGAGGGCATTGTGCTACCTCCCCCTGAAATGTGCCATCTGAAGAGTCCATCCCAGAGAGTAGCATTACCTAACTGCACCAAGTCTATCAGCAGCTCACTCGGTGCAGCATGAGACGCTTAATCTCATGGTTATGGGTTCGAACCCCACGTCGGGCAAAATATTCCTCCATTGCAGGGGGTTAGGCCCTCATGTTCCCTTCCCACTCTACAATTCTAGGGTTATCTTTAGATTTGCTTTGTGGTTTTTTCCTAGGGCCATTGTGGGAAGTAACAGGGCAAAGTGACTCTCTCTCTGTCTTCTACTATTGAAACTGAGCTTTGTCTTTCCCCCCTCCCACTTTCCCAGCCCCATGAGGTAGAGACAGGATACATCAGCATCCTTTAAAATCATCTTGCTTGTTCCATGTGCCGGAATAGAGTTGTCTGAATATTAATTATGGTTTCGGCGAAGTTCATAGGTTGAACTGGGGGACTGAGAATCCTGCCTTCACTCTCAGCCACCTGCTTAGATTGTCAGTGTTTATCTGCTTGAGTGAACTTAAATCAGTTTCTCTAAGTGAAAGGCTGGTTGCTCCAAGCAGATGTTCGTGCTCAGAACCGATGTACAGCCTGCCATTAGCATATGTAGCCTAATCCTAATAAATAGAGGGGACTGTACCACTTTCAAGGTGATTCCTCCAATCAAGGACCCAGCATTCCCCTCCCCCTGCCCCAATTTGGGCTGCTCCTCTCCCCCTCCTTCCCCAATTGGTGGATATCTCAAGATTTGGACACAGAACATCCTCGGCCCCCGCCCCTTCCAGTGGTCTTCTCTGTTTACGCTACATTGGAATGATTAATGATACTGTGCATTGTAACTAAATTGTACCGCCATTATCACCAGGTCACTGGTGACAACTAGATATATCATCTCAGGGGTTTATATACAGATAACAATTTTACCTACGCGAATAAAGGCGAGGCTGGATGTCGGCCTCATGCTAATGCCAGTGTCTCCGCATATTGGAAAGGCTGTAATGCACTGAACATGGGGATTTCATTAGAGCAGCATCCGTCCGGGAGCAATGACGGAGTGGATAGTTTGTCAGCCCGAGTCCCATTATCACCGAAAGCTGCTTCTTCTTTTTTTTCCCTGCCTAGGAAAGTATTTTTGTTGCATTGGCATTCACTTCAGGTCTCACAGGAACCCACACAAGCGTTGCAAAATCTTATGACCCAATTTATTGGGGATCGGCGATCGGCGTTGCCTCCCTTTGCAATGGAGGATGTATCATGCATGTGAGCAGACCCTCTCGGTGGTGGCACCATCCTTGTAAGATAAAATCAGGTGGCTACAACTATATTGACCTAAGTTATCAGAGGTCAGTGGCTTTGATCCCAGTATCCTCTGTGTAAGCAGAAGCTGCTTTCATTTGGACAGGGTGGGGGGAATGATCTGAAAGGCTTCCCCAAGCCCTTTGTGTCAGCTTGAGGACTTGCTAATGGGATACAGTGTTATTAACATTTCACCGTACCCTTATCTGCTGTTAAGCGTAGAACAATACGAGTTTGGAATGTGAACTTCCTGTAACATTGAGTAAAGGGGGGGGAAGTATAACTGTTGAAGATCACAAGAGTCCAACTGGTCTCCCTTGTTAGCATCTTGTGATGGTCTGTTGGAATTGTGGGACTTAGTATTTGGTATATGTGTTAGGAATACAGTGGTACCTCGGATTACATATGTTTCAGGTTACATACACTTCAGTTACAGACTCCGCTAACCTAGAAACAGTACCTCAGGTTAAGAATTTTGCTTCAGGATGAGAACAGAAATCACGTGGCAGCAGCGCGACAGCAGCAGGAAGCCCCATTAGCTAAAGTGGTAAAGGTAAAGGGTCCCCTGACCATTAGGTCCAGTCGTGGCCAACTCTGGGGTTGCGGCACTCATCTCGCTTTATTGGCCGAGGGAGCCAGCGTACAGGTTCTGGGTCATGTGGCCAGCATGACTAACCCACTTCTGGTGAACTAGAGCAGCACACGGAAACGCCGTTTGCTTTCCCACCGGAGCGGTACCTATTTATCTACTTGCACTTTGACATGCTTTCGAACTGCTAGGTTGGCAGGAGCAGGGACCGAGCAACGGGAGCTCACCCCGCCGTGGGGATTCGAACCGCCGACCTTCTGATCGGCAAGTCCTAGGCTCTGTGGTTTAACCCACAGCGCCACCCGCCTCCCAGCTAAAGTGGTACCTCAGGTTAAAAACTGTTTCAGGTTAAGAAAAGACCTCCAGAACAAATTAAGTTCTTAACCCGAGGTACCACTGTATAGGAAGAGGCAAAATGGCCCGTCTCATCCAGAATCCTGTTCTCGCAGTGGCCAGCCAGATGCCCGTGAGAAGCCTGCAAGTTGGAAATGAGCACAATAGCACTCTGCTCATCTGTGATTCCAGCCAGAGCTGTAGCTAGGTGATCTTGTGCCCTTGGCAGAACCATGCAGATTGCACCCCCTAGCCACGGACAAATTATCTCTTCATCTCTCCTCCAACCTCCTCCCCCCACCCATTCAATTCACCCTGCATTTAAAACCTTTTTCTTATGAGGCAATAATTGATATTTATATTTATAGACATATTTTAAAGCCGATTTTGTGCCTGCCCTTGCCTGCGCCCCTCACGGGGGCCCACCCCAGCACCCCCAAGCTATGGCCCTGATTCCAGCAACTGGTTTTCAGAATCATTACTGCCTCTGACCGTGGAAGCAGAGCATAGCCCTTGATACCTTTGCCTTGCATGAATTTACCAAATCTTCTTTTTAAGCTATCTTAGTTGGCAGCCATCACTATGTGCTGTGTGAAGGAGCCCTTTCTTTTATCTGCCTGAACCCTCCAATCTTCAGCATCATTGGGTTTCTGTGAATTCTAGTTGTATGAGAAAGGGAGAAAAAAACTTTTCTCTATCCATTTCCCCCATATCATGCATAATTTTTAAAACTTCTATCCTGTTGCCTTTTGCTTGTCCTTTCTCTAAACCAAAAAGTCACAGGTGCTGCAACCTTTATCCCTGTGGGTTGTCTCCCCCATCACTATCAACAACACATCTCCCAGGTACCATCTCTCCTCCCAAAAATAAGCCCTCTTACTACAGGCCAGAAGCAGAGGGGATTAGTCTTAGTGGTATGTGGTCAGTGGACTAAGGGAACTAGGCTAGTCCCCTCAATGTTCCTGGTACATTAGAGTATTCAAGTATTAAAGAGTTTGGATTGGATTTGATATCCAACTTTATCACAACCCGAAGGAGTCTCAAAGCGGCTAACAATCTCCTTTCCCTTCCTCCCCCACAACAAACACTCTGTGAGGTGACTGGGGCTGAGAGACTTCAGAGAAGTGTGACTAGCCCAAGGTCACCCAGCAGCTGCATGTGGAGGAGTGGGGAAGTAAACCCGGTTCACCAGATTACGAGTCCACCGCTCTTAACCACTACACCACATTGGTGCAGGGTCCAAGAGCCTGCACACCACCTTCCCAAAGCCAGCCCAGCTTTGGGGAGGAGGCAGCAGAGCTCCAGAATGCTGTCAGAGGTCTGGTGCCTCCTTCCCAAAGGCCAGGAAGCTTCTGCCCAGCTTAAGGAGGGAGGTGCAGTGCTCATGTGAATGACATTGGGATGTCACCCCTCAATCGCCCTCACAAGATGGCGCCTCTGGCCCAAACTGTTCCCCTGTGGGGGGAAAAATCACTACACACCACTGATTAGGCTGCCAGTTGATGATTTGCTTCAACACAGAGGCAAATGCCAAGCAGAATGCTGCAGCGAGACTCCTTACGGGGTCTTCGCTGCGAGATCACATTCACCCGGTGCTGTACCAGCTGCACTGGCTCCCGGTGGAGTACAGGATCAGGTTTAAGGTGCTGGTTTTAACCTTTAAAGCCCTATATGGCCTAGGACCCTCGTACCTACGGGATTGCCTCTCCTGGTATGTCCCATGGAGGACCCTACGGTCTTCAAACAAACATCTTGGAGGTCCCGGACCACAGGGAGGTTAGGCTGGCCTCAACCAGAGCCAGGGCTTTTTCGGCTGTGGCCCCGATCTGGTGGAACGCTCTGTCACAAGAGACTAGGGCCCTGCGGGACTTGACATCTTTCCACAGGGCCTGCAAGACAGAGCTGTTCCACCAGGCCTTTGGTCAAGGCACAGTCTGACCCCCCTCCTTTGGTAATCCTTACAGAATTCTGTGGTTGCCATTAATTTGATTTTGAATTGATTTTTAAATGAATTGTGTTACTTTTATAGTTGTTAGCCACTCTGAGCCCGGCTTCGGCTGGGGAGGGTGGGATATAAATAAAATTTTATTATTCTTATTATTATTAACACATGCAGGGATGTCTTAACCTTATCCAGCGCTGGGGTGCAAAGATCCACTCCCCCCAGGTTGCCCATTTCCAGGCGCACAGGAGTGTGGAGCCGGCCACCTCAGAGTCTCGCTGGCTCGGTCACCCCAGATCTCATGGCGCAGAGCCGCCCACAACAGAAGACCCCGCCGCTGCACTCCGACCAACAGGCAGGCTCTTCCCCAGACTCAACTCTTGGGCCCCGGACTCTTGGCCTGGCACCCCTGAGAGCCCGGTGCCCAGGTACCCCGCACCCCTAGTGCCTTTGGGTAAGACGGCCCTGAACACATGGCCATCTTCTGATCTCCTTATCCATGCCACAGTTTAGAAAACAGTGCAGATATTACTGTAAGGTCATAGCAAATAGTTGCAGGTGACTTGAGCAAGGGAGCTTAAAGTTACGACAATATGGGGAACCCCCTACCCACACACATACATATACCACCACACTCTGTTAATGGTATTGATTCCTGGAAAAGGTCTTTAATGGGTGATGGGCCCCCAAAAAAACGTCTCTCTGAGTCTTCTATAGGAAAAGGAATTAAAACTTACACGCAGAACCCTTCCCCAGGTAGAAAGTGTCTGTTTGACAATTTAGGCATCGTAAAACTTGGGTTGATCCTTATCAATTCATTTTGATTCCACCGACGGTTTGCTTTGTTTCCCCACCCCCACCCCCGCTCTTTCCTTTTTTCTGCGCTTATTGATCCTGACCTAGGAAAAAGGCTATTAATCTTGAAGCCAGAAAAGATCAGAGATAAGTCAAAAATGTGCTTGTTGTTACACAGCGGTG